TCATTCGATATGTTCAAAGCACCAAAAAATAGCGAAACAATTTTCAATATGACTGTGTTTTTTTTGTTGTTATTTTCCTCGGTTTCTTCAAACTGAATAATTTCTTGTTTTTCACGAGAAAAACTCAAAATTCGAAGAAAACTTTCGACCGACTTTAACACAAACACTAGCACTTGAAAAACCAAAAGCAAAAATATTTTAAAAAATAGATGAGTCCCATGAGGAAGTTAGAGAAATCTGGGAAAATGAAAAAAACACGTATAATTTGAAATTTCCTAACTAAGATCTGAAAAAAATGACAAATGTTGATACTGGGATAACTGGGGCTTGGAAAAACAAGTGAATAAGACAAAACAAATTTGACAAGTAATAATTTGTCTAAGAGTAATGCCAAAAAAATTATTTTTCATCGGGAAATACTAGTGGCGACTGGAACAAATAGCTGTGATTGAACAGCTCTTGAGTACAGAGAACATAATTTCTTTGTCTAAAGGGTAGATGGATATAGATTACACTTAGGAACACATAGCAGATGGTTTCAAAGAAAATTTTACCCAAGGTTTACGTATTTAACATAAGGTGGGAGTTAAGAACAGATATAAATAAAAATGAACGCTACTTTTTGATCAACATAGCGCAAAAACTGATCTTGTCAAAGTTTATGATTGTTTTGTTCTCTTCTAAGTTGAATTTGTTAACCTAGTCGGTTGAAACAAATGTTATATACATACCGCCCCCCCCCCCCCCTACACAAAAATGAAATTTGCGTTTTAAAAATTGATGGTATTTTTTGCTTTTTTTCCGAATGCTTTCCTTATTGGAGACATTAGAAAAGATTGAAGTGCACCACAATCCAAGTGAACAAACTTAAAAAATTTTACGAAATCGAGAAAGTTATTACAAAAAACTATAATGAAACTTTCCCGAAATTGAATTTAAAATGTCTTTGTACCATGTGAAATAATTCAAAAATTACATGTTTTGGAAAAGCTAGCCACTAATTTGGGATTATGTATAATTAACAGTTTATGGGTTTCGGGTTTCAAAAGTAGCGACTTGAAGAATAAAGTGGTTCCGAAAAGCATATACCGTAAAATCTGTTTTAGAAGAGCCGGCCCTTCTATTTTCATCATTTTTCCCGTAATTTTCCATCAAAAAATAAAACGAACTTTTGCTCAAAAATTATGTAAATCTGTCAATCTCACCAGAAATTGAGCAAGTTTCTCATCAAAAATGTTTCATCAATTTTATAATAAACTGTGAAATTCCCGGATATTATTTTACTGAAAACCTATGGGAATTTGGGGCCCTTCTATTTTTTGAGGGTTTTTTCGGATGGTCCTTCAACACAAGTTTTACAGTACTCTCAAAATTTCTCTCCTTCAATATGCTGTAAAATTTTTCAAATATTGCAATTAAGTACTCAACCATTCATTGAGATGACCTGGTTTTTAGCCCACTTCAGCCGTCAACTTTGAGCTTAATTATCTCAATCGCTGTGGGAGATATCAAATAATCGTCAACCGATGAGAGTATTGGTGTTAAAATCATAAGTATTTTATCAGTTGGCATATTTTTGATATCTTAAACAGGAATTTAGAGAATTGAGCTCAAAGTTTACAATTTGGATAGGTATTATATTACAGTAGTTGATTCGTTTTTAACCGACGATTAATTATTTTCCAACTGTGAAGCTAAAAAAGAACATTTGAAAACATAATTTCACGAGATTTAATTTCTTCTTTCCCAGGATTTCCGAGTTCCTGATCTCAATTATTTTTAATGATGGGAACACCATCGTGACGTGAATTTTTTTAACCCCAAAAGCGGAAGCATCGGCATCGGAATTTCGGATAAAATTGAAAGAATGATTTTTAATCAAGCTGCTCCTGCAATGAATATAATCCATTTCCTCAATAATTTACAAAAAAACCAATGCAAGATTCAAGACACAACTTTTAGCAATCTTAGAAGAACAAAAAATGAATTTTGTGGCACCAGTGAAAAAAAAGAAAACTTTCTAGTTCATCAGAAGATATTCTTCACCGGAAAGCGGATTTGTCCAAGACGTCGACGTTGTCAAAGAGCACGATCATGAACACATTTTTCTCTTTGCAAGCAAACTTTTTAGAGCAACAAAATTGAAACATTTTGGTAGTAAAACAAAAATTGAAGAAAAGAGAGGAGCGACCGATTTCAATGGAGTTATGCAAAAATTGAATATCCCATATTTGCTTCTGTTTTTTTTTCTCATCATGTGACATAGATGGATTTCAAATCGTGAGCGATGAGTTCATTATTTTCGTTGCACCAGAAAAGGACTAACTAATGAATTTTAGAAGAAAAAAAATGTGTGTAGGAGAGATAGAAATTGAGAATGCTCGACGTGTACGTGTATTTTGAATAGTGACTGCACAAAATCCAATGATTTATTGATGAATTTTGTAGTGGAATCATTGTGTGAACGGCATTTTTGTCATTTCTATCTTCTTTTTTCCTGGGTTCATTGAGTTTGAACATTCCAAAAAAGCGCACCAACCATTTCCGGATATAACATCCTTCCTGGTTCATTCTTTGCTTATAAGTTCAGTATGAAAGAAAAAGGGTTGGAACTGGGGAAATGCGTGAATAAAAATACTATGTTGGTTTTGCTGGAATTCAGTCCAACTCGTTAGTTTTAGAGAGACAATACATGTTAAAATAGAGAAGAAGAACACGAAGACCACCACTCGGGAAAATAAGAAACCTGATAGTTTTATTTTGAATCTCGTTTCCATTGCGCGACACTATTTTTCTTCAATTAAAACATTTGGAAGAAGAAGCGAAAAACAAAAGGATTGGGTATGTTGTCTGTCTGTGAGACGAACAGATGTTTTCTGGAAATACATACATGAATAATATTAGGCTGGAAAAAACGAGATACAAATGGGTTCATTATCACGTTTAATGGCGAATTGATTTTGGGACAGGGAATGTTGGAAATGAGAAGATGGAAATTTGAAATTTGAATTTGACAAGAATAACAGTGATTCCAATTTTATAATGAGGGTTAATTAGATGGATTCAATCATCTTTGTCACAAGCAGGGTCAAAATGAAAAATTCTCCGGCCCGGCATTGTCGGCTCGGGTCGGGGGAAATTTCAAGGTTTGTGAGTTTTATGAAATTTTCCACAATTTCAAAGTTTCGATACTTATGTAGTACATCTAAGCATTTTTTTTGAGGTGGAATCAAACAATTTTTTCAATAATTTTCTGAAAACTACCCACCTCGACTGGGCCAGGTCACTATTACGGTATACATCTTGACGGCCGGCACCGTAACTTACTGTAACTCAGTCAGCTTGCGGCGCCTCCAATGATGGACCCGCAAGTTCAGCACCTCGAGAGGCTTATATTAACAAAATATTACCAAACGTTTTTCCAGAATTCCAGGTTATTCTTTATATCATTTCCAATTCCAAATTAATAGTTTTCTCACTGTTTCTTTTGCAATTTTTTAACAAAATAAAACCTCATTCTTTTTTTCAAGATATTCAACAAACCACATCCAACTACTCATTACCCTTATCAGATTTATCATAAACTCTACATGACGAAATATTGTCGCCATCACTCGTCACGCCGGTTCATACGACTGCGACGAAACGAAAAATTTGCGAGAGAGGGGGATTCCCCCTCTTTGAGAGTCACACCGGATCGAGATCATATTGACTGATAGTGATAGGCAAGGCAGATTTACGGCAGGGGGATTTCCCCATACGTCACGTGGCGTCGATTGAATGTCAACGACAAGAAAGGGATCGTTTGATTTTTAGTTCCAATGCTATGTTTCGTCGACAAACGTTGTCGTTGTCGTCGAAAAAAACTGTTCTGAGAAGAAAAGATTACAAACCGCACCCAACATCTGATTGGGTTCAAAATGCTCTACTGTTGATTTCGGGGGAAACAGTTTGATCTTTTGAACTGTTGGTTTGGGAAATATGATTATTGATCATTTAGATCATAATAGACCATGATAAACTGGTTAAGAAAGTGTGAGTACACTTTGGAAGTCGAAGATAGTTAAGTGATCATGATCTTTTATTTTTAGTTTCAGCGTCAACCGTAATTATCAAAAAACCATTTCTGGAAATGACTGATAAGATCGAGAAATGGAGGGAGTCTAATGTTTTGCAGAAACGCATTTAAAGATATGATGAAATGTCGGAGAAAGTTTGAATTGCGTCATTTTGTGGGGTAAAAGTATTTTTTCGGCAAAATTCGATATCAATTCACAATAAATGGTCAATTTGAATGCTGCGCGTTTGTTGTTTTTTTTGAATTTCTTAGTTCTTTCAAGTTTGAATTCAGAAAATGTCCTAAAACTGAATTGCTTTACAAACTTCCAACTTCTGTGAAGCTGTTTCAAAAAATTGCTACTGATTATTTTTCAACGTTTTCAAAATTTCCTTTTGTTTTTGGATTATTTTCGTAAAAAGAATGATGTTTTCACAAACCAAAATTTTGCAAATCATGAGTTCTTTTGCACAACATTCGTTAAATATCTAGTGGCAATCAAAACTCACATTCAGAAGTTTTGCATAACTAGCGTATATACTGCTTTTTGTCTGAAAATAGACCTGATCACATTTTTTTTTTCAATTTTCCCAATTGGAGTTTTTCAAAAGTCGCCACCGTATCCGTTATCAGATGTGCCAAGTGCAACCACGTGCTTTGTACATTTGCCTCTTATAATCACTCCGAGAAGTCTCTGCTATCACCTCACGATAATCATCACGTGGTTTGTCTCCGAAAGAATATTCTGACAATCGACACGTTACATATCCTTCAACATCATCGCATCTCGTCTCTGGGTCGCTCCGCCCATTTTTGACAATCTCCACACGTGTGGGAGGTTGAGGCATTTCCTTCAATCATTCGTTGATCCCTTAGACCTTGGGGATAGCCCTATTTCTTTTATTCTATTCACTATCTCTGTATATCTTTTTCTAGTTTCAGAATGAAGAAAACTGCACAACTCGCCAGACAAATGATCAAAGCCATCGGATGTGCCAACGGATTGGCAGGCAGACAACTTGGTTGTGAGAATGCAGTAGAAGTCATCAAAGCTTCTCCATATTTTACAAATGTTCAACAGAGAATTCCACTGGAATGGGGAAAGATAATCGAGGAGGTTAACACTGGAAGACACGCCAGCGCACTTTCAGGAGTCACACAGGTCATTTAGCATTTTAAAGAGTTTCAAACATTACTGTAGTTTTCAGACATGCAGACAATTGGCACACGAAACTCGACAGGTGATTGAGAACAAGGATGAGCTTCTTGTTTTTGGAGGAGACCACAGCTGTGCGATTGGAACCTGGAGTGGTGTTGCAACTGCAATGAGGCCACATGGCGACATTGGACTCATCTGGGTGGACGCTCACATGGTAAGAGTGCACCGATTCTATTTTCAGACTGGGTTACTGTAGGTGTATTCCTTGCAAGAACTTGTTTTTCTTTTGGAAACGGGAATTCCTTCAAGAAGGACATGACCATTATATATCAAAAGATAAACAATAAAATCAAACAATCAACGAGTTGTTTTTAGGATGCCCACACACCGGACACAAGTGACACAGGAAACATCCACGGTATGCCAGTAGCGCATCTTCTCGGTTTCGGTGACAAGAATCTGGTGAGAATCGGAGATCGCATGCCTAAACTTCTTCCTCACAATCTGTGTATGGTTGGAATCAGGGACTACGAATCGGCAGAACAGGTAACTTCAAATGTCTTCTTTTCTTTATCATAAAGGATGGGGAACTTAAAAAAGACGTCGCAATGGTCAGATTTATGTTTTAAGGGAATTGAGAAGTCGTTAAAAGAATTGAGATGATAGGATAGAATGATTGATAATAGTTCTTTTTTGTAATCATCATCATTTGTTACAGGAACTTCTCGAGAGACTTGGCGTCAGAATCTTCTACGCAAACGAAGTTGAGAAGAGAGGAATTCAAGATGTGATGCAAGAAGCACAGTATCTTGTGACAAGAAACACAATCGGATATGGACTATCAATTGATCTTGATGGTTTTGACGTATCGTATGCTCCAGCAGTTGGAACCCCATCTGCTGATGGAATCAATGCTTTGGAATTCATCAAGGCTCTTTTGACAATCGACTTGACCAAACTTATTGCCACGGAAATTGTGGAATTCCTTCCAAGATTCGATGACAACCAGAGAACCAGTGAACAACTTGTGTCAAGTCTTGTTGAGTACATTTATAAGACGAAACAATTCCAAATCAATTCGGTGAACGAAATTGCTGCACGTGTTAACAAGTCGGAAACGATTCAAAAAGTGTCGCAAGCGATGTGAAATATAACAACATAATTTTTCTTCGAATATTAAACAACGAATCTGCATAATGAATGATTATAAAAACTTATCAGTGAAATTTCTTGAAAGTTAATGACCAACTGTAAAACTTGTATAAGCAGAGCCTCTTTAATATTAGGTTGGCAACTAATTCCTTGTGCACTTTTATTTTTCATCTATTCTCTTAACTGAGCTAGAACCATAACCTCTGTGTAACATAATATGGTATACAAGGTGGTAAGGTTGTTCAAAGTAACCATCATTCGCCCTGCTCCCATTCCGCTTGCGGACACGATGCCCCGATCCATGCCCGATGCTCACCTCATTCGTGATGCTATATTATTTCTAGTTATTTCTAACCTGAAAGTATCCGATATTCATCACCGTCTGGTGGAAGTTTAAAAAGATAATGTCCCCATAGGAACACTATTGTAAATTGGGTTGGCAAGTTCAAGAACCAGGACTTCTCAATGAAAGATGAAACTTGTCCCGGGCGACCAGTTCTTCAAGATATACTCAAGCTGAGAGATCTAGTCGAACGGGACCCTTATTAGGTTGGCAGGAAAGTAACTGTCCCTTGTTTTATTTTTGAATAATACAAAAGCAGGATTAATCCAGAATTAGCAATATGCACCGTCGTAATCCACAACATGTTGGCAATGTTCAGGTAACTTGTGGATACAATACCTTCAAAAGCCAGCTAGCCAAGAATCAAAGTATTCATTTTTTCCTGTTTTTCAAATAAATGGTGCAAATTCTCGTATTCTCTAGATGAGGTTGTATCTCTCCGAATATCCAATAATCTGATAGAACTCAGTCGAGACTATAAATATGTGAGGGAGAACCGTCCCGCTGAAGCTGCTCAGGTCTGACATGATTGCAGGTAAAAAATGAAAAAACCTCATGTTCACGGAAAGTCACGCCGTACATGAGCCGCTTTGGCTGGACGGTTCTCCTTTACCCCCGTTGAAGACATGATTGCAGCTCTATCATATCATTGGTTATTCCAAAGTATACGACGTCATCTGGAGCTTAAGGACTTTAACACACTTGATGCCTGAAAAACAGGAAAAAATGAATACTTTGATTCTTGGCTAGCTGGCTTTTGAAGGTATTGTATCCACAAGTTACCTGAACATTGCCAACATGTTGTGGATTACGACGGTGCATATTGCTAATTCTGGATTATTCTTGTGTTTGTGTTACTTACTAATAAAAAATGGACAGTCACTTTCCTGCCAACCTAATACCAATCTACCCGTGAAATGTCAATCACTTTATTGACAACTCATACCACAATTGGAAATGGATCGTTGAAGTTGGGAAAGACAAAAAAATTGGGCGGAGGATACTTCACTGTTTTGATCAGTTTAGATGTTCAGCGGCGAGTGGAACTGAGCATGCAACTTCTTACTCTACTTGGGAACTTAAAGCGGCTGAATTATATTGCCACCTCGGATAAGAGGTGGGTCAAATATACAAGCCATCACAGAAGAGTCCAACAGATTGACTTCGATATACAGCCAGAAGATGTCGTCAAACAGGAATTTTACTCAAAAACAGTGGGTATGAAAAGGGGCATCGTGTTTCCAAGCGGAATGAGAGCAGGGTGAATGATGGTTATTGTGAACAACCTTATCATCTTATATACCATATTATGTTACACACATGTTATGGTTCTAGCTTAATTAAGAGAAAACATGAAAAACAAAAGTGCACAAGGAATCAGTTGCCAACCTAATAAAACGGCCTCTCTTTTTTCTTCCGAAAATTGTTTAATTGAAATTAGTAGATTTTAATAGATTTTGAACGAAATTCGGAATACTTTTTAGTGGAGATAAAGGCTCGAATCGCTAAGATAGGTTTCACAATAATTAATCTAGATTTTCAATAACCACATAAGAAAAATACATTCGACAAACCTACAACTGAACTAATTAACTGGAACAATATGATTTCTTTTTCATCAGCCTTCTGTGACACTTTTCAATTTTCTTTGATTTTCCTCCATCCTTCTTTTCAAATCTTCCTTGAAATCCATTTCACACATCTCCACCTTTGCTTCCAAATCGCATATTTTTCTGGAAAAAATAATTTTTAACAGTTTCGTTTTGCTATTGTCTATTCTAAATAATCGCGCGGATGAACGAGTAAAAAAACGTGTAGAGAGTCTCCAAACCTGTAGATTCGCTGTAAAGACGCAGACATTTAGACTCGTTCACTCGTGCGATTATTTTGAATAGACAATAAAAGAAAACTAACTTTCCATTGAGATATTTTACCGCATCATATGCATGGACCGTCCGTTTGTAAGTAACAAATGCGAATCCTGGTGGTCTTTTTGCCATCCAAATGTTTTTGATTGGTCCCATCACAGAGAAAACATCATGGAGCTGAGAAAATTGTTAATAGCTTCAAAACATTTAGCTTCAAAACAATAGCATCAAACTTAGCTTCAAAACAATAGCTTCAAGCAAAACATTGTTGAATATAAAAAAAGCTCATTGACGATTGTTTTTTGTTTTTTATCTACACTAAAAGTTTAAAAATTTAGTTTCTAAAGCTTCAAAATTAAATTTACAGCTAAATGTTTAGCAAAAACTACTTACTTCCTGCTCCGTGGCATCAAAGGGCAAATTCCCGACATAGACTTGTCGATTTTCAAAATTTCGTTTTTTTCTCTTCTGGGGAATTGAATCAGACATCTATGATTGAAACCTTCATGACTCGTTTAACGACTAGATTTGACTGGCAACTGTTCAAATACTGGGAGGGTGCATTGAATGTAAAACATAGCCTTTGTTTTAATCAAATCCTCCTATGGCCACAGGAAGGATGATAATTATTTTGAGTAGAACCTAAGTTTTTTTTTGTAAATTTTTTTGAGAAATTAACAATTCATTTTTATTTTTTCAAACCAACACTTTTGGCAGTGATAAAATTCTATTCATTCAATACATAAAACGTTGTTGTAGTCTCGAAAAATAAAGATTATCTTAGTTTGCATGTGGATGGTTAACTGGTGGTGCGAGTCGGAGGGCGACAGCGTGGGACAAAGTAGCTTCGTGATCCTGAATACAAGAAATTGAAACAATAATAAAATAGTGATCGAAACAATTTTCCAGCAAAGAATTTTTCTGAGCACTAAGAAAAAAAAAGCGAAATAAAGCATGAGTAATTAGACAATCAATCAGGCGTCAAACCTTGAACAGAATACAACTTCAACTTTATGGTCGTGCAAGGCAAAAAGTATATATGTATAACTTAATTATATTTTGATTTCGAGAGATGTATGTGGTCTAAACAAGTGGATAGAGAGTCTTTCTAAAACCGGTTTAACGGAAGTTCTCAGTTTTTTGAGTAACTTTTAAAAAATTGCAGATCTCGGAATGCTTTGTTCACATAAGTTTTCCATACCTTGAGTCCTGCACAGAATCCGTAGTTGTCATACGCGTTTTGCGAGTACATTTCAGAAGATAATGTCATCTGAGAAGAAATTCCACTCCTATTCGCACATTTTGATGGTTTTTGGGTTTCCACGAGTGTAGCTGGAAGTGAGCCTCCTTCGTTTGGACTGGTCCCTGGTTGTTTAATGTCAATAACTTTGGGTTGGAGTTGAACAGAATTTTTGGATGCACTAGATCCCATGGCTAAAAATCAATAAGGTAATCATTCAAATAGAAGAAAAAGAAAAGAACGAACTAGAGTGATAATTTTTAGTTTAAATGGAAAGTGTTTAGTGGAAAACAAAAAATTGCGGTTCTGAAGAAGTGACGTGCGTAGGAAAGATTTAGTTTGCGTGATAAAAATTACTCACTGTTTTCCAGGACTTTATTAGCAATCCCAAGTGGCTTAGGAATTCCGTATAAAAGTAAAAATAGCTTTGTTATTTTGATTTTTTTCATATCGAATATCAAAAAACTTGAAGTATTTGTACCAAAGTTATGTTACCATTAAACCTTCATTAGAAGGGTCAGCCGTACAGTTTTTCGAGTGGTTTCTAGGGATCCCTTTAATTAGAGGGGTCTCTCAATTAAAGGAAGCACTTTTATTTATCGTGAGGCCTCTAGAGGGGCACTTCGATACAAGGGGCCCTCTAATTTCAGAGAGCCTTCTAGTACAGGTTTTACGGTATGATTCGAAACTGATGGCGTGAACTCAATTTTTGGTGGTTGAGCAGGAAATCGATTGGAGACTGTTTTTATGAACTGACACTGAAGGCGTTATTAAAACTTTCAACGAAAATGAGTTCCCAGTTCTCGAGTTTTTTTTCATAAGATTCTGATTATTGCGATTTTTCCTCTTTCCAATCTTCTGGCGGTGTTTTTTCGAATCGACGGATTTTTTTCCGCCAGTGGCCAACTTTGCCCTATATTCCAGCTGTTTCGAAAACTTAAGTTACCAAACCTTGGTGAACTCTGAACCTTTTAACGATATTCATTAAACATTCTCTCAAAATTGAAACTAGGAAAACATTTTTGCTGGATAATGTTTCTAAAGAATGAAATTTTTTTAAATCTGTAATCCGGGGTGTAGTGACTTGTTCGCAGCGGAGCAAACTCTGTTCCCATTAATAATTTTTATCCTGTATAGCTAATGTTTGGCTCTGCATTTCAAATTGTAAAGGTATGGAAGATACAAGAAAGATTCATGTAGAGCTCAAATATACCTATCAAGCTGAACCATAAAAACACAAAAAGCAAAGAAAATGAAGGAGTAATACACTTTGAAGTTGGTTGGCATAGTATCCATCACATGTCGAGCTAATGAACTTCATCCGAGATCCCAGAGGACAAGGATTTCGAAACGGAAAGTAGTCGTAAATGCACTTTACGTCATTTGTTTTTCGAAACTGTTGTAATCAAATCTCAAGTTGACAAAGGAAACAGGATTGAGTATAGTACTAAACTTTTTTGTTTTCAGTTTATTTCGAAATCCTGTAAAATTTTTCAATAACAAAACAATGACCAAGAACTCATGAAAACTTTCTTGAAGCTTTCAGCAATATTTCGCAAATATTATATCGAAAATATTCAACGGCATTTTTTACTTGATCGATGAGAATTTTTTTATCCATTTTATTTGAATTTAATGTAAAACAATAGTAGCTTTTTTTTATCCACAGTGTGTTGTAGGGTTATACAGCCACTTTAAAAGGGTTCGTTCTGATTCTGTATCATAAATTGCCCAAAACACCTTATTCATTCTTTTTTTAACTTTATGTCCAAAAGCTGCAGTCGGTGCATGTAGAACAGTTGGATGAGCCAAAAAAGCCATACTTGTAACGGGCCGGGCCGGGCCGGGCTTTTTCCCGAATTTCGGATGCCCGGCCCGACCCGAGCCCAGCCCGGCCCGGCGGGCCTGTCATTCCACAAGTTTTGAAAATTTCAAAAAACACATAAAGGGGGACCCTTATGCGATTTTTTTCGAGATTTTTTGATATTTTTTGATCAAACAGACAAACAATCCAAATAGCACAAAAATATAGAAAATTGGATTGAGAGCTCGAAGTTTAATTCAAAATGACAAAATTTTTGCTACCGGGCCCGAGCCCGGGCTTTGGCGGGCAAATTTTACAAGTATGAAAAAAACTAGCACAGACTAACTGAATTACTTCCACGATTGCACTGAACATTAAGTTTGAAACCGGAACCAAGACATCCAACGAATAAATACAGGACCACCTATCAACCTGAATTCAAAAGATCACACCCTGAATTCCAACATCAACCATTACATATATTGTTTTCAATTTCAGTAGTCAGCGATGTGCAAAATTAGCTCAACATAACATGAAACAATCACAAACCTTTATGACAAAAACTAGTTCGTATAAAATAAGTTTATTGATACTTCTCAAATTCTGGACCGATCCGGAGAGGCGCACAGGGTCAAGATCTGATAGGAGGGGAAACTCAATTGTGACCCGGCTCAGCCCGACCCGTGACGCGGATGAGTTCAGTAACGATTTGTCTTATCACTTGAAGAAAAATTGAGGCAGCAAAAACAACGATGAGGAAACGGACAGTCTATGATTGTTGATAATACGACGTTTCAATTTTTCTTATTGATTGGTGTTGACCGTTTTATTTTTTCCTTCATCAACTTTTCGAAGCTGTTTTTTCATACATAATGGTTCGTCTGGAATGTAAGATTTGTTTACGCGAGTATAAAACCAACATTGCGAAGCTGACTCCTCGAATTTTGACAAAATGTGGCCACACTTTATGCGAAAGCTGTTGCGAAATACTTTCCAATCAAAACGAAACCAAGGACTTGATATGTCCGTTTGATCGAAAAATGACTAAAATTAATCGTTAGTTATTGAATATAATTTCTAGTAGGCTTACATATATTTTCTCAGAAAATATGCAAGAACTAATGAAAAACTTTGCTATCACGGAGTATCTTGATGAATTGAACCAAGCTGTTCAACGAGGAACAAACCAATTGGCGTTGACCGTTTTTTCCTTCAACAATTTTTTCAAAACATTTTCATTCAAGATGGCTCGATTGGAATGTAAGATTTGTACACTGGAGTATAAAACCAATATTGCGAAGCTGACTCCTCGAATTTTGACAAAATGTGGCCACACTTTATGCGAAAGCTGTTGCGAAATACTTTCCAATCAAAACGAAACCAAGGACTTGATATGTCCGTTTGATCGAAAAATGACTAAAATAAACCGTAAGATTTCGAATATGATTTCCAGTGAGCTTACATCACATTCTTCAGGCAATGTGCAAGAATTAATGAAAAACTTCGCAATAACCGAATATATTGATGAGTTAAGCCAAACTGGTCAACAAGACGCAGAGCACATCGAACAAGGTAAGCTTTCTTTTTTTCGAATTTCCCTGGATTTAGCAAAATTAAGCTTTTGACAACGTCTCAAAAATTCATTTTCAGACTTACGACTGCCAGTGAGAAATAGAGCCGAATCCGAGGACACCGAGGAACATAATATCATCCAACAACTCTACAACTTACAGTTGCGCGAGCAGCAGAATGAAAGAAACATTCGTGAGCTTCAGAGGGAACGTCGCCCAGAGACTCTAATAAACCAGATTCCTGCTCGGTTTATGCGCCATTACTATGACAGTGGTTTGGATTCTATCGAAGGAAACCACCAGCAACTGGTTGATGTTCTCGCTCGAGTAAGGATACTGTTTGGATGACAACGAGGAAATTTCTATCCGAGATCACTAATATTTTACTTGTATTATAATTGTCAGTATAGTTAGAAACAATGAATTTTAAGCGTAAGACTGTTATTACGTTACGACCATAAACACTGTCGGTTCTTACGGGAGCAGAAGTGAAATGACTCGAATGAGTCACTAATCAAATGCGACTTGAAAACAATTACAAATGTGAAAAAACATGGCAGTACTTCTCTAACTTTTCTGTTTTTTAGTGGTGAGAAGTTGATTCAAAAGATGGGTACAGAAATAATTTAAAAAATACTTTCGACACTAAAGAAAAAGCTACATAAAAACAGCCAGGTAACCAGAAAAATATACTTTAAACCTGAAATTCTTCTACTTGAAACAATAGCGACTGCGAAATGTCCTAGCTGCAAAATGTCGCCCGGCCAAATGTCTCAGAGGCCACTGCATGGCTTCGATAAAACAGTTTTCCTCAACCGAAACACAATTCAAGGAGTAACTCACTGAGTAGCGGCGCATCGCCTCCTATTTTCAAAAAAACTAATCCAAAAAAACTCAAATTTTGATTTATTTTTAAAAATCATATCTTCCATTTTTTACATTGTTTTTTCACATGGTTTTTTCGCATACATTGGCAGGTTCAAAAAATTGATAAACAAAATATAATCCACGAAGGCTTTAATTTAGAAAGATAGCACATTTTTCTTGAAGTATGAATTATTCACTTTAGTTCAATGTTTATAATAAGCTATTATAATACCATTGCTTTCAAAACGTTTTGTTTTAAATCTGATTTAGCTTTCAAAATACGATTTGGCGGTCGCAAACTAAAGTTCTGAAGTTTAAGTTTTCGTTAAATTTATGAATTTCTTTCAGAAAAAAAAACACACACACACGGAAATGTGAACAATCACAGGACTCTAGATATTATCAGATACAATCAGATCAATCTTATTTTCCGTCTTTATTTTCTCGTTTACGACTTTTTTTTCCGAATTTTCTGTAATTTTCTACCAAAAAAGGGAACATGAAAATTTTCGATATTAAAAAAAATTGACTAAAACGTATAATAGATTTGAAGAGATGGAACTTTCATTGAAGAAAACTGCTGACACCATTTTTTATACTTTTGAAGAGCTGGAACTTTTGTGGAACCTTTGAATGTAGCCACTTTCTCTCTCTCTCATTTGTTAAATTGAAACATTTGCAAATTTTTATAACGAATGCTCTTTCCTGAAGAATTGAGTCTATTAAGCTCTCATATTTTAAAAGTTACTCTGTAAAACTTTTCTTATCATTCGAAGAATAGTTGAAGCGGCAAAAATAACGATGAGGAAACTGACAGTTCATGATTGTTGATAAAACGACATTTCTATTTTTTTATTGATTGGCGTTGACCGTTTTTTCCTTCAACAAGTTTTTCAAAACATTTTCATTCAAGATGGCTCGATTGGAATGTAAGATTTGTACACTGGAGTATAAAACCAACATTGCGAAGCTGACTCCTCGAATTTTGACAAAATGTGGCCACACTTTATGCGAAAGCTGTTGCGAAATACTTTCCAATCAAAACGAAACCAAGGACTTGATATGTCCGTTTGATCGAAAAATGACTAAAATTAATCGTTAGTTATTGAATATAATTTCTAGTAGGCTTACATATATTTTCTCAGAAAATGTGCAAGAACTAATGAAAAACTTTGCTATCACGGAGTATCTTGATGAATTGAACCAAGCTGTTCAACGAGGAACAAACCAAACGGAACAAGGTTAGCTAATATTTTCATCGGATTTCTTTTGATCCAACCAAACAATGATTTTCAATTTTTTTTCGATAACTTGAAACTTTCACTTCGCAGATTTTCGATTGCCGCACGTCAATAGAGCCGAATCCGAGGACCCTGAAGAAAATCATTTCATTGAACAACTCTACAACGTACTGGTGCGCGAAGATGAAGAGAACAATCGTGACTTCGAGTTGGAACTAGACCGCCCAGTGACTCCAGATGACGAGATTCCTGTTGGATATATGCACAACGTCTATGTTAGCGATTCGGATTCTGAAGATGAAAACTACAGGCAAATGGTGAACGATTTGGCGCGCTTCAACATTGGCGACTATGGAGACAATTATGAGGATTTCGATGAAATCTTTATCCAAGATGAATAAAATTGTATTATAATTGTCTGTATATTTAGAGACAATAAATTTTCAGTGTAAAATTGGTATCACGTCACGGTTATACAAACTGTCGGTTTTTGCGGGAAGAGAAGCGAAATGACTCGAATGAGTCATCATTCAAATGCCACCTGAAAAGCGTTACAAATATGAGAAAAATAATGGTGTCAGCAATTTTCAAATTACTCTAAATTTTCGTGAGAATGGGATTTTCGTGAGAAATTTTCGTAAGAACGTGAGAATGGAAACTTCCGGTATACATAACGATTTTCTCGACATTTCCCATACTTTCACAAAATTTGAAATCTTCAAATAATGACTGATAGAAAAAATAACAGCAAAATCACTAACCCCAATGAAACGTTACTTTGATTTTTTTTTTGTTTTCATTTCAAACAGCAAAAAAGTTTCGATTTTTTTTTGAAATCGGCGAATTTATTGAAACGCTTTTATTTATGATAGTTTATCAAAAAATTCTTTAACAATTGTTAGGACCAATCAGTCCAAGCATTCAGTGAAGGTAAAAAATGTTCTAATACATTTATGAGTTTTTGAAAACATCGTAAAACATTTTTAGGCTCTCAATTCATTGTAAAGTTCGATGGCTTGTTGTATAATATTTCTTGTTTTTTTAAATGCACTTACATTAGCTTTGTTCCGATAAGACGGTTTTGCTCAACCTTATCGTATTGGACCATTTCCGAAGGCGTCCGCGTATCACAGTCAGTCAGTCAGTAGTCACACCAAATTCTTTACTTTTCATCTTTTACTTCATTTTCTGAAATGATAGTTTCTGCATAAAATAAATTAGCATTGTTTGTGAATTGATGGCAAATTAAAACAAAAGAAGAAAAATGAGCCACCGACACCTTTATTTAGAAAACAAGCACACTTTTTTTGAAGCATGAATATACATTTTTTACTTCAACCAATTATTAAATATGAGCAAATTTCGCAAGCCTGCCCAAATAAAATTATTTGAAAATTATGAAAAGGATAGAAATTAACAATACTGTAGGTGTAAGATATCGGAAAAGCATTTTGAGAAAGTGGAGAACATTGTTCGGAGCAATTAGAGAGTATGAGGACAATGTCTTGGAGAAGTTTGCGAATTTGCGATTTTCTTATTCGCTGTCTAAACTAATCGCAGGACGATCACCTTCATGATCGGAATCGCTGAGTCCAGATTGAACACTGGAAGAGCTTGAAGAACTTCGTGACCTTTTGCCGGTTTCGTTCTCCAACCCATTTTTATTTACTGTTCCATCTGGGCCAGTGGATGTTCCCTCTTCACAGTCTTGATATGGTGTCACGGAATTTCTCGTGTTATCAGCTTCATCGTTATTGTTATCTTCATCAGCCAAATCGATAACAGCGTCTTCGGCTTCATCTTCAACTTCTCCCTCTCTTTCTTCATCTTCTTCCTCATCGCCAGCTTTTTCAGCTCCATTATCCTTTTCATCATCAGTATCTTCTCGCTCATCTTCCAAACCAAATTCGTTGAGTCCGTCGAGCATGTCATCCATTCCACCGGTCTCATCTTCCCCATCGTGTTCCATCTCTTCTTCCTGCTTCCTCTCAGATTTGGAAGCCTCTTTTGGGTCTTCACTAATGGATGGTTCGTTTTGAGTTGAAGAAGACGAAACGGCATTCTTTGGCTTTCTCTTGACTCGCTTCTTCCCGAACTGACGAGTGGAAAAGTATTTTTTGTGCGGTGGAACCTTTGCTCGAATGATCTTCACTTTGGGCTCCTTTGATTTTGGTTTCGGTTTTGATTTCTTCGGTGATAACAAAACGTCTTTAGGCTTTTTGAACTCAGCTATAAGAGCTGGTCCAGGGGAGCCTCTGAAAAAATATAGAAACACATTTTTTCGGTTTATCAAAAAAACGAACTTGTCATCATCGAGAGTGATAGTTGCTATCTTCTTTTTTGATTTCGTTTGTTTTTGTGATCCGCTTGTTGATGGTTGGTTTGAATCTTCTGTTTCCAAATTGGCTTTTTTTGAAGGACGTGCATTTACAACTGGATCTTGCCTAAACGCCACTACATATCTGTCTGAGACTTCGACTGGATCCGCATAATTACTGGCTCGCTGGTTGTCGACAAAACGAATTTTGTATTTTCCAGAAACTTGGTCTGGAGGCGCGTGCACTATTCCTATAACGAAACGCAAGAATTATAGCAGAGCTGCAGTTGCATTACCTTCGTAGAAACACGTTGTTTTTGGGAAGAGTGCCAAGATGATAGCATTTTTTGGGAAAGCAAGCCAGGGATACCGTTTGTAATCTACAGTATACTTTGGCATAGGTATGAGCTGTTTCCGAGAAAACATGACAGGCTTCATTTCTTTGTCGTCGGTATCGAAACACTCGTAGCGGTTGTTCGAAGCTGCGTTAATTACCTGAAAATTAGATGTTCTAAATTTTAATTGGCTTTATACTTTTAGAATGATATTTTTAATTCAGCGTAGGTTTGAGTTTGTTACTCTACTATTAGCGGTTTTTTTGGTCAACATCAAATCGAATGTTTCGAAACTTACCTCAATAAATTTCGTTGCACGGAATATTTTAATTTAAAAAATCAGAATTCTAAATATTATATGTAACTAATTAAACTAAGTCATACTTTCAACAAGCCAGACGAAAATCAGAATTTTTTAATGCCTGGATATGGTCCGATCCTGTTTGGCCAATATTATTTTTACGTGTTCACATGAACGCAAAAAATAAATCGTAGTTGTGAAAATTTCTTTTGAAAATTTTTCTTCGAAAAAATGCAAAAAATACTGGTTTTTAGATGAAGAATTTGAGCTATTGAGCACGTCAACCCATTTTCAAGCTCTAGCAGTCATACTTTTGTATAGGCGGAACACCTCAAGAAATTCTCTTTTAGGCAGTATAAAATGAATTTCTCTCAGGATTTTTTTAATTTGCTACTTGGACCGAGCCAAGAGAACTTTTTGATCCGGCACGCATATTATTGATAAGAATTATTTTTAGAAAATGTCAAAACTATACTCACCTCTGCCGCAATCCACGTTTTAGAATCTTCCATGAACGCCGCAACTTCATCGCCTTTCTCAAGTTTCTGATCGTCTGGAATTTTGACTCCAGCAACACCGAGCGGTTCCTCGCTGATACTCGGAGTCCAAATCGGAGAGCAACCACATCTGAGTTCAAGTATCTGGATACCACTGGATTCTTTAGTTTTCCTCCATTCTGCAATTGCTGAGAGACGAGCTTCTTTGAGTGCGTTGATATGGGATGCTAATAAGTTTCTTCCTTTATCCATGTCCACCACATTCTTTTTGTACGCTTCATGTGCATCTGACTAGAAAAATGTGTAGAAGGTTTTTGTCGAAGTAATGAAGTCACACCTACTCTTTGTTTCTTGTTCATTTGCTGTAAATTAGAAGTTCCAGCTTTCTTATGAAGCTCCGCTATCACTTTATTGGCGGCATTCTCATTGTCCATGTGATCCTTACATTCTTTCAACTAAATAAATTGTTTTTTTTTCATTGAAATTCTCATGAAAAATCGAAAAATACCATTGCTCTCAAAACAATTTGCTTTTGATCTGCTGGAGCTTCTTCCAAAAGATTTGGAGGTCGTTGTTGTGGTTTATGCTTGTTCCTAGGCATGGTTTGTTCAAGTTTTGGCGAAAATCCTGAAATTTTTTTTTCAATAATTTATGGATTTCTTGATGGAAAAAAAAGTTAGGAGTTGTGAAAAAATTCTTAGGTTTTTGAATATTCCTAGAAAAATGAGTTTTTTGGAAGGGTAGGTTTTGACGCGTCGCTGAAGCGTACGCGTGTGTGCCTGTGTGTGAGCGGCGTGTGGGCCTTGTCGGTGGTCGGTATGGGAGTTAGCGGAAAACAGCGAGAAAGAGGAGCAGACGCGCAGAATGACCTTGCTGTGCGCGTACACTCATTCAAGGACCCCCACAACCCTTTCGATGTGTAATCGAGGTCTCTCTCTTTTTCGCTCTTTTCCGTCAGCAGCGTCTTCATTGTTTTGCGAACAGAGCAGATGGTTGAGAAGACAAAAAATATGAATGGGTTGGTGAGGTGAGAGATATTGTTGGACGAGGAGAAGCAGGACATTCAGATTGACAGAAGATTAATTGAGATTTGTGAAAATGAACGGGTTTGAAGAGGAAAGTGGCTGGGAAAGGGATATATGTAGTAGTAGTACGATGAAAAAGCTACAGTTTCTTGACAAAAAATGTGGATTGCAAATGAGACGGGCTCCATCCAAAAACAAAAATGCGAAGACGACTACAAGACGGATTTTCCTCTGTCAAAAAAACATGTTATTTACATTTGCAAGATAGCCTTGACGGGAGGTAGCATAAAAAGATATGCATCGTTTTTATTTGAGGTCATTTTTTTGTCAAGTTGACACAGCTGCAAGTTTTGAGAAAAAAAGAACCACGAAATTAAAAAATCGAACACGTTTATTTTTTGAAAAAATAAAATCATTATGTACAAAAATGACAATGACACAAAAATAGAGTTGTTGGGATCAGAAGATAAAAATAAAAATGAGAAATTTTTTAAAAAATCTTTGTGTGAGCTCAAAACATTTATATTTCAAGTTTAGAGAAACCAAGTTTCAACTTAAAAATTTTTTAACTTGAAATCCGAAAATAAGCAGAAAAAAAGAAACTGAAAGACATTTTGCAAAACTCAGCTCGCTCAGAGAGGAATACTGTCATTTTTGATGTAAAAACTAGAATATCAGCTGAAAATTTTTCAAAACAACGAAATGTATTTCAAATTTTAGGATTAGGTATGAAGAGACTATCTAAAGGCGTGAGACAAGTTTCGAAGTCGCTCGCCAGTTTCAGTAAAGTTATATCAGTCTTAACTTCTACTTAAATTCATTCAAACTGTTGTAAAAATTTCGAGATATTAAGTGAAACAGGAAGTTTGATTCAATTCTACGTGAAACACAACAAAATAGATTTTCTGAAACGTACTAAAAGTTGTGAAAATCATCTTTGAAAATTGCTTTTTTTTCACTGAAAGCATGATTTTTGCTACTGATACTCATATAGCTCGGCTAAAACTAGCAAGTGGATTCTTAAATTTTTAGAAGGCGTTCTTAATGTATCCTGAAGTTTTCATAAAAGTCTGGATTTACAAGATGTTGAGGTTACCTTGTAAATATTTCCTTTTTTTTTGTTTTTCAAAATTTTTCGATTAGTTCCCAGTTTCCAACCAGCACCCATAATTACACAACATTTTATTCAAGTCGTAATTTTAACTTTCCCTAACAAGGAGTTCCACATGTTGGAACCCTTCTATTCGAAGTATTTTTATCCCTCTCGACATTGGTGGATGATGCGAATTGTTGTTCCGGTGGAATCATTATTCGCATCCGACGGAAGCCAAACATGGGGCATCTTAAGAATAACAATGTTTTACGGAAGTAATTTGCCTTCAAGTACCTCATCATTTTTGTCACATGCGCCCTCATGGACCGTGAGTATATCAACAATAGCCAGCCTGACAACCCGCAATAAATGTCATTGATAACATCGTAGAGTAGATAGAACACCTATAATAGCTATCATTGTAAAGGTCAAAAACTGTCCTCGTCCCCACCCGTGTTGGAACACTCGTATTGATTCCAAATACGTAGATAACATAGCAGTAATAAACGATTTCTGCGACACATGTCAAACCAGCCACAATGTTGAGGTTGTATTCCTGTCTTTGTTTTTCACTCATCACTTTTTGGTTCAGATGTGGTTGTGTTGATAGGCGCTGGAAAAAAGAAACAGGATATTAAAGTTCAGAATGTGTTGTTGACGAACCACTTTGTATTTACTTCTGAATGCAATCACCATTGTTACATTAATGATCATAATGCATGCAACAAAAATAGTTTCAATAACATATGCCGACATGAAGAATCCTCGTCGAAAATTTTGATTTTTATATTGGATGTAGATTCTGAAAAAAAATAGTTGGAATTCGTTTTTGTGTCTAAAAGTTGAAATCTCATACCCATTTCGTTCATACTTCCAGTAGAAGTTCTGAGTTATAAGACTTGATCCAATGCAGAGGCCTATTCCCAGTTGAAACACGTGCACCAACCAAATGAACTTACTGTTCCAAATCTAAAACTAACATCACTGTATGGTCTGTCAGATATAAGATTGAAGATCAACAATAGAACGTATTCAAAGTCCCGACGTACTTGCTTATGTTTGATAGGAAGGCAAACAGCGGTGGCCCGATTGAGAGCAAGGGCAACGACAGTGCATCCCTGAATCCCTCGGGCGGTCCACGCAATCATCAGATACATTTGACCGACGAACGTGCCCATGGATAAATAGAAATCTTGGAAATATCTGAAATTTGAGATGTGTTGGAACATAAAAAATAAGAAGGAAGCGCAGAAAGAAGATATAAAATGAAAATAGCTATATTGAGAGCTGATCTCTTGATCTGTTTGCTTTGTCACGTACCCTTTTGCCGGGAACACACATCCGAAATAATTATTGACCAAACTGAAGACATCTACTATGATTCCAACGGTGAAGATTTGGTAAAACATTCCTGGAAAACTAGTTTATATTTGTATTCTAGAAGTCATTGGCTACCTTTATATACAGTATTTCTAAGTGTAACAAGTATCAAGACTTCCATAATGTACAGAATAATAGTTACAAATGAACCCATCATGAAGACAGTGCTCACAATACTCTCCAATGGGTCGAACCATTCCGGAAGCGTTGCGTTGGAAGCCATCGGAGGCCTAAAAAATAAAAGACATTTTGAAAAGTTGAGTTTCAAAATTGGAAATTGAACAGCGGAATTCGATTGAACACTAATTCATAAATAGACAGCCAAATATGATTTTTGAGCTTTGAGGCTTTGAACTGCAATGCACTTCTGATCAGATTGGGAATTACGGAAATTATAGAGTTGTCTGTTGTCTTCGTCACGTTTGAGGTTTTAGAGAGTAATTATAATCATCAAGATTTTTTAATTGAAATTTAATGATCACACAGCAATTTTCAGTCAAGCATTTATCAGTTAGAGAGTCATAAAAGAGATTAACGAAAAAATCGGAATATCAAACCTTTTCATCCATTATGATTGATATTCTTTGAAACAAGGGAGCTTGATAATAAAGAAAAACTCTCCATTGTCTGTGGATATGAAAACTTGTGCGTTAGAAAATTAAAATCAATTGAGAAAAATGATATCTTCATTTTCTAGGCTTGAAAAAGGCTTGATGATCAATAAGCTTAACATTGCGATGATTGGAATTTTGGAAGAGTGCAATAAATCTTAAGATGATTTTAAAAGTAAAGTTTGAAATTTTCGTCAAATTCCTAATTCAAAAGTCTCGGACCAAAATATTGGGATTTCATATATTTCCAATATTGTCCACATTTTCAGAGATTCCCTAGTAATGAATTCCAGCCTCCTCACGTTGGGCAGATTTATTTTTAAGTTTGTTTTGATCCAAATTATGTGTTCATATACCCTTTCTAAGTACAAGGTGTACGCCAAGGGTTACGATGGACCCATTATCCCCTTATGATCCATGCCTATCAATCTGACCTCTCATTATTATCTTTTCATCTGTTCGCAACATATATCTGCTACAAACTAGACGAACGAGTTTTTATCTCTTCCTTTTGCCTCAGACACCCGTATCAAAAACGGTAGTTCACGTGAATAATATCAATTTTCACGACGCACGCAATAACAAATCGACTGCGACTGTTGACCAGCAAAATTATCTTGTGATCCGGGTCCGAAATGATGTGTCAGAGGAAGGAAACTGTTTGGAAAGTGTTCGATGAACCGTAGATTTCGGAATAATATTTGTCACGTTGACCATTGGTTCTGTTTACATTTTGATCCTGATAATCACATTTTGGTTCTGAATCAGTTCGATTAGTCATACGAATTTCAGAACTATATACTGAAACATTGAGTACCGGGATTTCAAGTTTCATTGTTTCACAACAACAACCTCCCCACCTCAAAAGTTATCATTCTTCATCTATATATCATTTTCAGTGTTAGATCAAAAACTTGGAATAGTATTGTTTTGGTCAGTGTGTCCTACGGTCCGCCCACTATTCCCTTGTTCTATGGACCCCGAAATTCCAGTTAGAAACAATCAACCTGCAAACGTTTACAAAAGGAGTGAAGATCTAGTGATTTGCGAACATTTTTGATATTCTTCCTTATCTCCTCCTTCTCCGCAAAACGTGATAGACCACCACTAACAGCAAACTCTGCACCCAAACGCACTCATCTTAAGCAATACATCTGATAATCTGATGTCGTAAATTATAGTTCCCTGAATGTGGGTGGGACGGGAAGAAGGGATACAAATCTTGGGAGTGCACAGGGACGAAGACGTCATCAGATCAGTAGACCGCCCAGTATAAATACAGTCCAATTTAAGACTGTTTCGATGGTTCTAAGCCATTCACTTCTTGCTTATTATCCTATTTTCTTTTTTTCAATAATTTTTTAGAATTTGTCAGATGGCCTCATCTACGCTAGTTCGCACACTTGAACATCATGTCAAAAGAATCCTAATGGTTCGTCCTACACATTTCGAACTCAAATATTCTATCAACCCTTGGATGGACATGAAGAGAGGAGTGAATAGAGAGAAAGCGTTGAAACAATGGGATCAGTTGAAAAACACAATTGAAAATAGTGGTGCCAAAGTGGAAGTTATGGAATCAACGGTAGGTCTAACATTAAGTTTTTGAAAAAAAGGAAAAAATATTGTTGCCATAAAAACTGAAAAATATCTCTTTTTTTCAGGGCGCTGAAAGTCTCCCGGATATTGTTTTCGCCGCCAATGCAGCCATCATTAAGGGAAATAAAGCGTATTTGGCGAGCTTCGCGCACCCGGAAAGACAGGGAGAAAGGTTAGTGAATGAACTCACCCATCGAAATCAAACGTCATCCTCTTTTCTTATTCTTTTGAAGATACTTCTACGAGCAGTGGTTCACAAATAATGGTTATGAATGCGTCGGAGATCAAGATATTCCATCGGAAGGTGAGTCAAAAGAGAGAGCAGAAAGTATGCATGTGGTTGGAGTGTGGGACCCCTTTAACGATCAAATTACGCTATTCAAAAGAAGGGCGCGCCCCCATCATCATCACGGTCCCTGCTCTAGGCCCAATTTCCTATTTGGATCGGATATATAACATAAGCAGAAAGCGAGCTATTAGCTATTCCAACTCCTGACTCGGTTAATCACGATGTATTAGAAACCAGAGCTGGTCCTGCACAGCTGATCGTAGTGGATCCTTGGAAGAGACAAAAAACATGCGACAAAAGCGGGGTCTAGTTTCTACTCTACTGGTCCATGCTTCCGGTGTGTTTTAGTTCTCAATGGAAGTTGAAAAAATAATTGCATCAAGAAAAATAGGGACCATGACTAACTTTTTGTTTATTTCTTCAAAAATAGATTAGAATTAATAAGTATCGGGTATTTTTTCTGTTTCAAGTACTTTAGGTTTCATTGTAGAGAGGTAATATAAACCTTAAGCATACCACGAGAAAATTTCAAGAGCACAAAAAACCGCGTCATGGTCTTTCAAAAGACTGGTATTATTATTTTCACAGACGGGTACGCAGATGAAAACTTTAATTATGAGTAAAAGCGAATAGACTCCTGAACTACGATAACTAGAAAAGGGCTTGTCTGATGTGAGGCTAATCAAAATGCAGCTGTATTTTTGGGAAACACTCCACTAATCCGATTTCATAGAAATCAATTTACAAATTAAGAAAAAAAGAGAAAATCATAGGATCACAAGACATCGAAGCAAAAAAACTGAGTTACAGGTGCGGGTGATGCTCTCTGGGGTGGTGATCAATTGCGCACTCTGTTCATGGGCGTGGGAACCCGAACCGACGTAAGAGCACTTCGCGATGTTGCAAATAAACTCGACGATGGCACCAACTGGAAAGTGATTGGGTGTCGACTCGTTGATCCGAGGTTTGTTTATTAGACAAGAAATGAGAAGACAGCTGAAGACTCTCTGAAGATTCCTATCTTCTTAAATAATTCACTTTCGGAAGAAGTACAGAGACTAATCAAAATTCTCCAGACATTCGGAGAAAGTTGAGAGATTTGTGTACGCCTTGAATATTCAATTAAGTAGTTTCTCCCTTTTATTTTTTTTATATTCCAGGTTCTACCACATTGACACCGCCTTCTGCCCACTCAACGAGGACGTGGCCATATACTACCCGTATGCTTTCGATCATATCACCCGTCATAATATGAGAAATGAGACGGATTTGATTGAGGTACGAATATATTGAATTATATGGGGCAAACTATGGACAACAAGGTGATTTCTTTCAGGTTTCTCAGAAGGAGGCCCGTAATTTCGCTTGCAACGCTGTCGTCGTTGGACAAAATGTTATCATGCATCAAGGAAATGAAGAGATTGCTAACAAGTTGGTTAAATTGGGATTCACTGTCAGGTAATCTAACGAAAAATAGGAAAAAAATTAGGCAAACTTTTCGTTTAAGATTCGTCGACATGAGCGAATTTATCAAGTCAGGAGGATCTTCAAAATGTTGCACACTTCAAATCTAAAAGTACCAAAACAAATGACAAACATGTATGGAATATAATGCAAACGGATCTTAAATATTTTTAATTGTGACTCTTCTGCTCTCAAATTGAATATCATATTTTACTAAAATAAAATTTCAAAAACAAAAGTGTTGTAAATGTTATCAAAATTTAGGTAAAACCAGGGATATGCAGCACGGAATTAGGAATTTCGCCCAGAAAAACTCGATAAAAAAGTTGAAAAAAAGGTGACCTGTACATTCTAACGAAAATGCGGAATGTACTTTTGACCTCGATAGGTTTGTCCTAAAAAATTTTCAGAATGAAAACTTCACCTTAACTGTTGGATTGTTGGCTTTTGTTAGTTTGACTGTTTTTTAGATGAAGCCACAGTTTAAAATTGGCCTATTGCAAATGATTACACCAAGAGTTTTTGAAGTCGGAGTAATGAATTTGAGCGATTTATTAAATTAAATTTTTCACACAATTTGAACGAGGGCAAATTATTTGGAGGGTATCAAAATTTAGGAGTCATTGGGGTACAAAGCAATTTAGTTGTACAAAATCTTCAATTCGAGGGTACAAAATACCTGAAAAATTCAAACTTTGTACCCCCGAATTGTGGGTGTTTTTGTACTCTCAAATTGCACTGTACTCCGTTGTACTCTTGAATTGTTGTTTCTGAGATATGTGCCTATGTGGACACGAAAAAAAATAATTCTCCGAAAATTCTCAAAAATTCATCAAACTCTTCGAGGAATGGACCGGTGGGCCCCAAAACAAACTTTTCTCAGATACAGATCACTCAAGGTTCTCCTACTCTGTACTCCCATCAGACTATTTCACGGCTTCAAATTTTCCGTGGAAATAATCCCACTCCTAAAATAGTTCTATGCAACAATTTGAACTGAATTTCAATCCCTTAAGAATCGAGAGAAAGCTAAAAAAATAAGCGAAAAAGAAAGAATACATCGAAAAAACCAATTAAACATGTGGAAAAGATTGAACACATAGCTTCCGTCGTTTAGAAAAAAAAAGAGAATGGGTGATGTGAGAGTGCAGAAAAAAGCAATCAAGAAAAGGAAATGCTCTGGAATTCTCTAACGTTCCAGCTGCCTTGAACTTCCTTATTTGTTTTAAGAGTGTAGAGCCCCTGATCCAGTTCCATTCTGAACTCCCACCACATCCGGAAACTTGATACTCTTTTTGCTTTTTCTCTATTACAAAACGCTGAAAGGTTCAATAAAAAGTTTCTGAAAATGGAACACTTTTGTGTTTCAGGGAAGATAAATTTTATTGTGTTCACAGAACAAAATGGCACATTGTGTTTAGAGTCGAAAAGACTGTGACAAGATTCTAGTATAGAATATGATTGGGAGGAAGTAAAAATGAAAAAAAAATTATAAACAATTAGTTTGCTTTTGCAATGTTCTTTGCTTTCCATTGTGCAACAAATTCTTGCATGTTGTGTGGGACCAGTTGTGGAAGATTGATCTCTTCTTTGGTTTCGAATGTGAACAGGAAGCGATCGCAGAGTTCAAAAGTGTTGGATTCGGTGTTATAGACTTCGACTTGGGAGCTGATCTGAAAATACATAAGATTAGATTTTAACATTTCGCATAGAAATTGTTTTTGACTCACCTGGAACTTTTTCTCTTTGTTATCAACATTGCAAATAAAAGCACTGAATTTGAGAATGCTTCCAATTTTTACAACTTTCAAAAATTCAGCATCATCAATAGAAGCGACCCGAAGAGGGGTTCTAGCAAACATCTTGGCACAAAGCTCAGCGGTTTCGAGTCCCTTTCTGACCAAAAACCCTCCAAAAACCGATCCATATGGGTTTTCATGCTCTGGTTGGGCAATGGTTGCGGTCTCAATAATTGTGGAAGACATCTGTTGTTCTCCTTCCTGTAAATATTATTTTTCAAATAATGAAATGAGTTTATTTGTTTACCTGGACAACTGGAAGCTGAATCGCACCAAGTTCTGGAACAGTTGGACGAGTGGTATTGGCTTCATGCCTCTGCTGGTTCAAGAATTTCTCAATTGGGGTGACTGGGAGAAGTTGGTTGGTAGGAAGCTTCTGAGAAGTATTGGTTCCATCCAAGGATGACTGAAAAATAGGAAAGCTATACTGATCGAGAGCACCTGAAAACTTACAAAAACAAGACGAGCGGTTAGAAATTCTGATCTATTCTGAATGACATTTACAGTTGCTTCCGCTTTGTTATCACTCGTCCAGGTGACTTTTCCTCTCAAAACAATATCGCGATATGGGGAGAGACCGTATCCATGAGAGAGGCTTGTCTGGTGGAAGCGAGCAGTGACAAACATTCTTGGAAGCGTTCCAGTTTCGAAGGTCTTCAATGAAAGGTCTTCTCTGTTAAGCATATAACAAGCACAGGGAGCAACAATGTCGACAGCTTCCAGAAGACGTCCCATGCGAATATGTCCATTGCTGTCGGTCATGTTGAGTCGGGCTTTGAAATCTGTGGCTAGAGGAATGACGACTTTCAGCTCGGATTCCACCATTTTTCTAGTCTCCAAGGTAATGTTTGGATTGATTTTGGCACTGATAAGCTGTCTGGCGTACTTGTAGAAACAGTCATAAAGTTGATCCATAGTCCGGAGTTCTGGATTGCGAACTGTTTGAACTGGAAACTTAGGGTTGAAGTGCTTCAAGTTTCTCATAAGAGAGCCCTGAAAATATTCATTGAGAAATTTCCTAATTTAGAAACTAACCTTGGATTGAAGAGCTCTGGCAGAAGCGTTGGCTGACATGGCAGTGATTAGGTAGTATTAGCAAACTAATTTGTTTGTTGGCTGTGATCTTCTAGTTCCAGCGAACAGTTTATATACGGTTCTCCGCCCCTTTTGCAATTTAAAAGTGCAAGTTTTTTTTGTCAAGCGGCTGTCTATTTGGAGTGACGTTTCTGATATTTTTTTGTTGTTGACGGGCTGGGGCAACAGACGGACGGCAAAAAATGCTTGCACTTTTAACTAGAACCATAGCAGAAACCGACAGGAATCACGGAATTCACGTGAATCATCATCGTTTCAGTAGAGGGGAAGAGAAAAGGGCAAGGAGGAAATGGGCGGAGCCACTGGAATCGCAACATTCGATGTTTGGTCTAGTGAAAAAAACTGAAATAGACGGCTGAGGGAGATACGGGTCAAAGAGCGCTCGAAAAATTGGCATGTTGAGAAAGATATGGTTTGAGAAAGTGCAACAGGATTCTGCATGACCCATCTGTTTCTCGAAAGTACATGTAATGATAAACCACTTATCAAGAATTCCCAGTCAATGTGTCAATCAAAAGTGCTTTCGTTAGATTGACATACCAGATGTTTGTGAGGAAAAGAATATGATGATAAACTCAAGCACAACATATGTGAATAGTCACAGGGAAGTAAAATATGATACAAAAGTATTTTAATCTTCAATATTCATATTTTAAAAATGTCCCAGTTATCAATTTTCTCCCCCCACAAATAACGAACAGCAAAAAATGAAACTTACTGTATTTTGTTCAATAAATCACAATTGTATTTCCATTTTTACCTCAATTATTTCGGTTCTCATAAGAGATTTCGAAAATTTGCCAACTGATAAAATCTTTGTCATAGGATAACCAAAATGCTTTCAATTTACAAATATCTCATACTTCTTATAAAAATCGAGGTACGGTGAAACCTGTATTAGAAGGGCACCCTTCAAATTGTTGTGTAAGAATTTAAAAATTCGTATAACTTTTACGTGGAAAATATTCTGGTAAATTCCACCGTTTCACAGAAATTTGTTGGAATACTCTGGTTTGCCTTTTTCTATTTTGGTCGAATTGATCTATAAACTTGCTGAAATTTGCATTTTTTACAAATCGAAAACTTTTAAAAGGCATGAAATAATTACTGTAATCTCATGTTGGGCTTTTAAATTCTTTTAAAACCTCCTATACGGCTTGGTGCATGTGCAGTACCTGTCAAAAAAAATACAATAACGCAATTTTCGTATGTTTTTTTTTTTTGGATATTTTGAGCATTTTTGGAGTCTGGAGCTTGGCTGTAAAGGTTCCGACCGCTTTGAAAACTTTGGAAGCTCTAAAACAGACACAGATTAAAAAGTTTGCAATCGCATAATTTAGAAAATTCCTAGTTTTTGCAGCTATTAGCCGATTACTGATTGACACCCCGGTTCGGCCCTTCTTTCTCTAGTAAGACAAAATGAAACATCTCGGACAATTTACACTTCATGTTTTCATTAAAAACTGCACATTTTCTGATCCAGCTCTCCATATATATTTTTTTGCAAAATTGTTTACTTCTGAACCCGCTAGACTTTGTTCTCCAAAAAAAAAATCCGAAAAAGTTGTTTGTGTCAGAAAGGTCGAAAATTTTACACAGTGCAGACATCTCATTCCCAACTTCTTCCTACGCAAGTTCCCTTCATGAAATGTTGCCACTGAACGTTGATCGTCTCTTCAAAGTCTATCTCTCTTCGATTCTCAGCAATTTTTTTCAGTGGCAGACAGATAAAAAATAAAGTGCAAACAAGAGTCTTCTCTCTGGTTACACTGAACCTTGATTGACACCTGTTTGAAATGTTTGTGACTTTCTTGCAAAAAACCGCTACAAAAATTTCAGCGTAATGTCTGGCGAAAACTGATACTTTGGTGATTATGAGAGGACGTACAAACAGTCCTTTATGCAGGAGATGATTGAGGGTCACGGATCAAGGATTTAGAAGAATCGTTTTTTACATAGCAATCAAGAGTTAGAAATGTATTTTTCCGACAAAGCCTCATTCGATGGTCTTAATTTGAAAAAATTCATACAGAGAAAATAGGAAAAATTGTTTCAGATAACTTTAGGCTGAGTAATCATCATATGGGACAGATGAATATAACAAAAATTTGAAAATGTCAACTATGGACCAGTGAACCCAAACAATATTAAAAATAGACATATTTGAGCAGTTTCCAATAAAAATTTACCCATCAGCCTTTCTTGTTACTTTTCTATTTCTATATCTAATGCCCCATTTTTCTTAGTATTTTGTAAATTTGGTATTTATTGTGATTGCGTTCTTTTTTCAGTATTGGAATCACTTGTAATGTATCTATTTTTAGTTCTGAGTTTTTACAAACAAAAGATTGTATATTTGTTTTATAATCAATTATCCATACATTTTGATTGAACAATTCCTAACATTTTCCAAAAAAAGTTTTTTTTTTGATAATATCTAGTTTTTAATGTTTGAAAAAAAAACATAAACGTTAAAATAAAATTTGAGGTGAACCGTTTTTTTATTATTTTCAAGATTAAAAAACCAACTTTACACAGACAAATAGATTCAAAAAGAAGATAACGAATAGAGAATGGCAATTCAATTGTTGAAAAGGAGAAACGGAAATCTTGGAGAACAATTCTCTATTACGGATAAGTGGGGGAGAGCTGTATTCTGAGGTGTCATCACAAGTTATCCTGAATGCGGCAAAATGTTCCGTCGCTTCGCTAACGCAGCCATCCTACTACAGATGCTCCAACATCTCATTCCCACTCAATTACAATGGGTAATTGTGCACTCGAAGCTGAAGACAACAAAACAAAGCCACTTTGAACCTCAGGGTCCCCACGTCTATGTAAGCGAATCCATGCGCCACACAATTTATCCCCGAATTCTGTTATGCATTCTCTTTCCGTGTTATTTTCAAGTTTCTTCAAACTGTTCAACTGGTTCATTCTTTTTTTTTCTTCACTGATTCCCCAAATAGGCCGAAACAAAAGTCGAACTGACACCCAAGCGTTTCCAATTTTGCCTGAACAATTTGATTATCCGAAAACGACCAGGTAACTGGCGGAAACAATCGAATAGGCTTGAGCTATAATTAAATAACAAATTTTCCAGTGAGAGCAGAGCACTTGTATGTCGTCAGTTGAATTATTTCATCTATCAATATGTCAAGAAGTAGGGACAAAACCTTTTTCTATTTCAAATTTCTTTGATAGATTGTTAGGCTGAACTTGAATTACTTTTTTTTCGCCTTGATTGTTTATTAGGTAAAAGTTAACAATGTATTTGGAAACTATTTCTGAGTCCGCTTTGATGATCAGTTGCAGAGTAATTCTTGGAGTTCCAGATATAATTCTCTTCTACATTTTTCAGTCTCTATATTTTTAAATTGACACTAAATGTGAGGTATAATGCTTCCTTTGAACACAACTATTATAACGCATCTTTTCCTGCAAACGGAAAAGGGAAACTTTGAGCCATTTGCCGAGAGGGCAACTCTTTGTGCAAAGGCTAATTGCTCGGTTAATTCAAATTACGCATTCATTGAAATCACTTGTGCTCTTAACCTGAGGTCCCAATGTTACTGGAAGGACAATTGTCCCCGTTTTTTTTTCTCTCGAAATTTTCCAAAACCTTTTTTTCTTCTCTCATCCCAAGGAAAATTTTAATTTCCTCCTTCCACGGATCAGTTTGAATATAAGTTTATTTGTCAACTATCGTATCATCTTTAATGAAGAGAAAGAAAGGGGAGTAAAACTACGGAATTGAGTTGAAATATATTGAATGCGATATTAGCAATAAAGGCATTGCCCTGGTCTAGTGGACAGCACAGATTGCCTTAGGGTGAACCGCAGTGAGCGCATTTGTTGTGTCGAGAAGGAATGAGGGGGGTGAAGAATGAAGATATGAAGATGAGCACCTCATATGCTCAAACACATTCTTTAGTTTGGTGGTCCCACGCCGTGAATCCTTCTGTTTTTCCGTCCCTTTCGAAATAATTCCGTTTTTGACTTTCATATTTGGATCGAACAACAGGATTTGAAGGAAATGGAAAAGGATGACAAAGTAGAGTTGACAAGGTTTGTAATTTATAAATTAGTCTTTGTGTCAGATTGTATGATTCTTTGAAATGTGATGCTCAGATGGCTAATGCACTGTCGAAGAAGCACAAAAAGGTGAATTCAATTTTCGAGAGTGAATCGGTTTCATTTAAACTCTTGGCAGTGACAGCTTATGTCAAGATTTTCGAAAATTGACAAACTTTAAATCTGAGGGTTTTAATGTTTTTTGCTTGCGAGAATTTTTATAAAAGTGTTTTATAGAAATTCTTTTAAAAAATGTATCTCCCACGGTCAATAAGTCATAAATCAAAGAATTTTTTGGAACGTCCATAAAAGTCCCTGGTCATGTCTTTTAGCAGAAATGTCAGACTAGTCTAGAAATAGATGGCTTCAGTCATTGAAACTGTTAATTTTTGTTCTAAAATGGCAACAAAGTTTAGCACAGGCTGAAAATCACAATACCCTCGTATAGGATATCCTTTTTTGTCCTAGCAGCTCCCTACTGATGAAACTTTGCCCACGATTTTATGATAAGTTCCAATTAACTAAGTTTAGTAGTTTTTTTTGGTGCTTCCTGATACATTTCCGAACAATAAGTCATAATTCGATTTTTCAGCGGTAAAGTTAAGATTGGACTCCAGAAAAACTTCAATTTCAAATTGTTTTTGTTCTTAAATTGTCGGACATTACTATCTAGAAAAGGGGATGTTTTTTTTATTTTTCTGTAACTGAATACTATTGGCCGTTTTGTAATCTGATAAGAAAAACGGCAAGGTTGTAACTCTAAAAGTACCGAAAATGACAAAATCAGCGAGATGAGAGTTGTGAATTGAAAATTTTCCACTGAAAAAAGATTTTGAATATGATTCGCTTTAACTGATACTGTAGGACACATCTCTCCCTTTCCATTCTCTGTTATTTCTAATTTC